ATAATATAGGTAAAGGCTTAGAACAGTGTGTGGCAGATGGTAGGTAAGCCCTTAATAAACATAAAATATCATTATTTGTCTCCATCATTTGAGATATATCTCACATCTTATCCAGAGGACTCCCAAACACTCGTGCCTTCCCTTCTCTCTCCTGTCTCTGGATTCCTCTACAAGTCAGTTTTGTACCGTGCAGTCTCACATATGACGGACATGCAGCGTTACTTAGTTCCATGAATGATTCACGTGTCTTAATGTTGCTTCCCCAACAGACTCTAAATTCCTTGATGGCAGGAACCCTGTAACTGGCTTTTGTTAGATTTCCACAACTCAAGACCCAGTCCAGGGCAACTGTTGGACCCTTAAACATCTTTCATCACTAGCTGTGTTCATCACTAGGAAAAAGTAGGAAAAATCCAGTGTTGTGGGATTGTAAGTGGGTATTAGATCCAGCAGCTGAAACTTAAGATGTGAAGATGTATATTGACACAGATGTGCACACAAAACGTTTATAGCAGCTTTATTGATAATAGCCAAAAACCAGGAACAACTCGGATGTCCTTCAACAAGGGAAGGGTGACCCAGCCAGTGATGCATCCATCACACCGTGGATTGCTGCTCGGCAATGAGGAGGCACAGACTCGATACGGGAACCAGCTTGGGTGACGCTCCAGAGAACTGCACTGAGTGGAGAAGGGCAGTCCCACTGTGTGATTCCGTTATTATTACATTCTCCCGAAGTGACAGAATATAGAAAGGAGAACAGAGGAGTGGCTGCCAGAGTTTAAGGAGGGAATGGAAAAGCGGGGAAGAGCAGCGGTGCGGGATCCTGAGATGGAAGTTTTTGTGTCGTGTTGGTGTGTGTCAGTATCCTAGCGTGATACTGTACATTGTTTTGTAAGATGCTGCCGTCGGGGTAAACCGGGTAAAGTATATGAGGACCTCTCTGTATGATTTCTTACAAATGCATGTATAATTTACAGTGGGCTCAAAACATTTAATTACACAAAAAACCCACATACACTTAAAGTAGTCCAACAGAAGCAGAAAAAGTAGACCAGGCTTCCCACTGTTGGAGAAACATGGCAAACCTTTTTGAGAAGGATTTTGTATATTTTTTATTTCTGGTTTTGTTTTGTTTTTTGAGATGGAGTCTTGCTTTGTCACCCAGGCTGGAGTGCCGTGGCATGATCTCGTCTTACGCAACCCTGCCTCCTAGGTTCACAGCAATTCTTCCGCCTCAGCCTCCTGAGTACCTGGGATTACAGGCACCCGCCACCACCATCCGACTACTTTGTGTGTTGGTGTGTGTATTTTTAAGAGGAGGGTGGGGTTTCACCCTGTTGGCCAGGCTGGTCTTGAACTCCTCACCCTCAGGGCGATCCACCCACCTCGGCCTCCCAAAGTGCTGGGATTACAGGCATGAGCCACTGCACCCGGCCAGCTTTTATTTTTTAGGAATAAAATGTATCGATTGTCCTTTAACACTTTTGTTTATATTAGTATTTACTCCTTGGAGTATAATAGTAGGCAGTTTAGTTATGTTAAATGATGATTGTTTATACAAACAAGATTCCTCTGTTTTCAAAAAGATATAATATGGAGAGGAAGAGAGAGAGACAGGGTCTCACTCTGTCACCCAGGCTGGAATGTAGTGGCGCAATCATGGCTCACTGCGAGCCTTGGACCTCCCGAGGCCTAGGCAGTCCTCCTGCCTCAGCTCCAAGTAGCCTGAGACCAGGCATAGCGACACCCTGTCGGGATAATTTTATTTATTTATTTGTAGACGACGGGGTTCTCACCATGTTGCCTAGACTGGTCTTGACCTCCCGGGCCTCAAGCGACCGTCCCACCTTGGCCTCGCCAAACTGCTGGGATTAGAGGAGTGGGAGCCACTGCACCTTGGCTGGCCAATACATATAATATAGTATAGTTATATATATATACTACAATGTAATATCTGGTGATATATGTATACACAGTAAATTATCACATGATGGTATTTATCGCATTATTATATAGATTACAATTGTATATAATACTATGTGTGTGTATATGTATATATTTCTTATAGTTACTTAAATTGGGGGAATAATTTAGAGAAAATCTTTTCCAATTCTCTCATTTCACATATTCAAAAACTCAGAAGTGACCCAAGGTTACACAGCTAGTTAGCAGCCTTAACAAGGGTTAGAACCCCATCATCTGAGAATCCAGTCCTGTATTTTATACACAATTGTATTTTATAAATGCAGCACAATTAAATGTACGTAGAAGAATATTCTGAGTTACTGCAGTTACCCTGCTTGGTACTGAGATGACTCATTGCCACCCAGAGGGGTGCCCCTGCTCCGTTGATGGGTGGCAGCTGCCCATAGAGAAGTGAAGAAACCAGGGTGCTGGATGTGCTCACCCTAGAAGCACATGTAGCACCCGAGTAGGGAAGGACAGGCTAACACTTGGAGAACTGGCAAAGAAAAAACAAAGAAGAAGGAAAAGTTTAGAGCAGAACTGGGATGAGAACCAGCTCTCCAGGCTCAAACCAAGACCTCTCCAATGGGGCACCCCAGAAGTGGGCACCCTTAATGTGAGCTTTTCATCCGTGCTAAGCTGAAAGCACTTATGTACCTCACCACTAAGTGGGAAGCCAGGCTAGAGACGGAGAGATGGGAATGTAAATGTTCTGAACAGCAATTCCTATCCTGGGACCGTGGGCAATGTCCCTCCTTCCTACTCTCTTGCCTCAGTTTACCCACGAGGTGCTTTATTAGCCAGAAAAGCCATTGCAGCTTTTGCTGTAATCTATCTGTGGAGACTGAACACACACACGCAAACTGAAAACATCATGCTTACAAAATGAAGATTGTGCAGATTGCTCTTGAGGCTGGCTAACCAACAGCAAATGTGAAACAGACCCAGATAATTTCCCCAGGCTTATTAAATTGATTCCTGCTTCCCCATGAGTGGTGGTGGAGATGCTGGCTGCAGGGAACAGACACAGGGAAAGAGTGGTAAAAACTTCGCTTTTTGGTATGTTGCACAAACAGCCCCCACTGCCAAGTGAGTCAGAACTTCCGAACAGCATAATTTTAGTGCCCTTCTTGTGGTTCTCTCTCTGGGCTGCTTCTGAAAGGAAGGTCTCAGGGCGGGGTTTCCTGTGTTCAATTCCAGAGATGACAAAGGGGCTTTTCCCCCAATCCTTTGCCAGATTTTTTTTCCAGATGGGTTTTCATGTCCACCCCCTTCTGTAGCTGCAGGTAAGGCTGAGGACTAAGGCACTGTGGACTTCCTAGTTGCAAACTGCCCCATCCCCTCGTATTGCTTACTTAACTTCTGTTTTTCTTCCATATGGACTACTTTGGAGAGGAAAAAGACTGGCATCAAATAAAAAATAGGGTTCTGTTTTTGATGTAATGTTTACGTCAGGCTTAAGAAAAGTAATGGATGGCCGGGCATGGTGGCTCACACCTGTAATTCCAGGACTTTGGGAGGCCAAGCGGTCGGATCTCTTGAGGTCAGGAATTCGAGACCAGGCTGGCCAACATGGTGAAACCCTGTCTCTACTAAAAATACAAAAAATTAGCTGAGCGTGGTGGTGCATGTCTGTAGTCCCAGCTATTCAAGTGGCTGAGGCACGAGAATTGCTTGAATCTGGGAGGTGGAGGTTGCAGTGAGTCAAGTTTGCACCACTGCACTCCAGCCTGGGTGACAGAGCGAGACTCTGTCTAAGAAAAGCAATGGAATGGGAGAGTATTCTGAAAAGCAGCAAGCCCTGTGAAGCCCAAGATTATAACAATCACATTGATAATAATAAAACTATCTGCACAGTATTTTGCATTTCATAAAATATGTTTATCACATGTGTTTTCACCCATGAAAAATTATTACTATCCCCATCTAACATGAGAAAAACCAATGTTGTAAGAGGTCACATTCAGTGTAAGATTACACTGTATGTGTACACTGTATGTGTAAGTCAGTCTTACATTGTAAGATTCACTCAGCTAAATAAGTAGCAAAGCTTGACCAGGAAAGTGAATATCTCCACTGCTCTGAACTGGTGCTCTGCACTGCACCAGCAGCAGGAGGGACAGTTCATCTCTGTGCACCATGGTGCCCTGACACAGAATTATTACACCCTGACCTCCTTGGAGGTAGTAGTCTGTGCCTCATTCGTCCTCGTATTCCCAGAGACTGGCACATAGTAGATACTCAGGAATGTTTGATGAAAGACTGAATAGCTGTGTGCCAGAAACTGTAGCAATCATACCATTCCCAGAACCATAACATAACAGCTCACCTGAGCTGGGTGCTCAAATACCAGGCACAAAACCATACAAGATAAGCTCCTATTATTAGATCTATTTAACAGAAAAGGAAACCAAGTATGAGTAATCAGCTGAAAGTTGCAAATTGGGCACTTTGTCACTAGAGCCTGAGCTCCCAACTATACCCAGCCATCTCTTCCTGCAGGACATTGAGTTACGGCGGCCTGCTCCACCCTCGGAGCAGCCTGGGGGAGCCATCTCTCTCCTTGTGCAAATCACCTGCCCGCTTTGTGCCTTGGTTTCCCTTGTCAGGCGAAACTCGTTAAACTTTTCTTAACTACCTGGAGGATGTTTGCAGAGATTTAATAAGGAGACACATTTGAAAGCATTCTGAAAAGCAAAAAGCATGATCCAGATGCAGGCATTATAATCATTGTTACTCACCGCCTGCACCTGCAGTTTGACTGTGGTAACCTCAAGGCCTGCGGCAGCACTCCTAATTGAGTCACAGTGATAATAACACGTATAACAGCATACTTGGAACCAGTCAGTCGCAGGGAGATGGGAGGGGTCTTGTGTATGTCTTCAGCAATGCTGTGAATAATTACAGCTTAATAAATGGGATCTAACTAAGAGGTGTGGGTCTACCTCAGAGTGAATCCTGGGGTTTGGCTAATTCTTCTACCTCCCTCTCAATTTCGAAAAGACATACACACACACACACACTCCATTAACTATCTTGTCCTGCTTTACAATTTAATCTCTTAGGATACTGACTTTTACACGATCTGTTCTGCAAACATCCGGCATCCCTGCTAAGAAACAAGGAAAACGGCATCCCGGAAGCACTGGATTTGGGTCAGTTACTAACTCCTCATCTGTAAAATCGCTAGCCGCACCTAAATTGTGATGACTGGAGTTCACGTAAAACCTAGTTTTACAACTTGTATCCCTCATTAGTGGCGCTCATCTGATCCAGAGCCGGTGGAGTCAATCATGCAACTATGTAATTACTCGGAAAAAGATAAGAACTGGGGCCCAGGGCTGTTCAAAGCCGGGCTGGACGCACAGGAAGGCCAGTGACTGCTGACCTGGGAGGAGAGGGAGAGAGCGCCAGGGTGCAAAGGCTTCCAGCCACCAAGCAGTAGGAGTTTGGCAGAAGACTGTGGAGCAAACCCCAGGCCAAGGCAACCTCATGTGCACAGGCACAGAGGCAGATACGGTTTAGACATTCTGGGACAAGGTTAAAGGGTTGGCATGGCTGGAGCAGGGGTTGGGAGGACGGGGGGATGTTTCTGCTGGATGGGGAGGGAGAGGGGAGGAGCATTCTGAGGCCTTGGGTTTGTTGGGGGTTCACATTATGCCTGGTGATTCACATTCCTTGCGACTCCCGGACTGTGGGCCCGAACTGTGGAGTGGGAGAGGATGGGCAGGGTGCCAGTCCCCCCGTCCCAACCACCCCGCCCTTTCTTCCCGCGTGAGGCTAGCTGATGGGTGTCGTTTTCTTGGATTTCGCGCCTCTGGGCGATGTGCCCCTTCCTAGGCCCCCACCTCTGCTCTGTGAGCGCAAGATCTGCCGGCGTCCTAATCCCTTTTCCAAGTCTGGACGCACAGATCCAACTTTCCCGGGGGAAAGGCAGCTCCGCGCCATTCCCTAGAATGAGAAAAGGGACGGTGGCTGTGTGTGTGTCGGGAAGACAGACAGGGGCCAGGGCTCCGGGCTGCTTTCCAGGCCACGGTGGACAGGACACCCCCTTAACCCCCGCCCCGGGTCCGCGACAGGGAGCGGTAAGGCTCTTCCTCGGCCCTGGTACCCGGGGCCACGCAGGGTGTCCGCCGGGCTGGGGTTGCGCACCCGGGGCCTCCGTTGAGCGCGTGCGGAGAGGGGCGCGGCCTCTCCCGCGGGGCCACCGGGCGGGCTCCGGCGGGGGCGGGGGTACTCGTGGTGTCCGGGCCCGCCCCAGCCCTGCCCCGCCCCGGAGCCGCCCGGGACGCAGGGAGGAGGGAAGGAGGCTCGGCCCCAGCTACCCGCGGCGCCGCGCTCCTCCACGCTCCGGGTGGGTAAGTGGCACGGGGCCGGGAGGCCAGGCCGGGGGCCGGGGGCCGGGGCCTGGGCGGGTGGGGTCCTCAGTCCCCGGCCCAGCTCTGACACAGCCCCGGGGATCCGGGGTGCCGAAAGTCTGGGGGACCTGGGGAGGCGCGCCCGGCGCGGGGGCGGGGGCTCCGGCGTGACAGCTGCGGGCGGGCGGGTATTTTTAGTTTAAATCCAACCGTTCCGTGCTGGCTGCGAAATTCCCGAGCCTTTCCTTTCAACCCCGGGGAGCTTCGGCCCGCAAGAAAAAGCCCTAAAGCCCGGGGCAGCACGTCCCAGGCGGGCCGGGTGCCTCCTCGGGGCTTCCCTTTGCCTCCCCTAGGGGCGGGCTGACCTGTCACCAAGGATTGCGCGCGGCGGGGGCCCGACCCGCTCCTGGCGACCGCGAGCGCGCTCAGTAGTGTCTGGGAGAGCAGAGCAGGCGGCGAGGAGGGGAAGTCCAACCCTGAATGCTCAGTTTTGTTCAGACGCCTCTTGGCTGTGCAAACTTGACAAGCAGCTCAACCTCTCTGAGCCTCATTCCCACATTTCCAAAGGGGAGGGCAGTGAGGCCAGAGATGGCTTGCAGGGCCTGAGAGAGCCTCAGATGGATGTTGACTTCCCTTGGGGTCTTGGGATCTTGACCCCAAACAGCAGTCCCATTGATGTGGCCCATTGGTCAACCCAGGAGCAGTGTCCTACCCCTCCCAGCTGACTTCTGCTTCAAAACTGGAAGCCAGGGCCTCCAGCCTGGGCGGGGTGATAATGAATATTTTTAGTTAACCACTTCGGCCCTGAAGCTCCAACCGTGGGCTGCCCTGGGACTCTTTCCCAGGTCCCTGGTCACCCCTTTCAACTCTGAAGAGTTACCCTTATCCCAGCACTGGGTGCAGGGGCTGTCTACAGCCAACGGCTGCTAGTGGGATAACCTGATGTGTCTTGGGGGCATGCCCCATCCCACATGAATGAGGGCATGAGGAGAATGGACCGTCCTCCCAGAAAGGAGAGCATGTCAAAATCACTGCCGTTCTGAGCTTGGCAGGACAGCCTCCCTCATCCACCAAGAGAAGCAGAAACAGGCCCAGAGAGGGGGAGTGATTTGCCCAGAGCCACACTGCCTGGCTCTCTTAAAGGGCCTGGCCTTGCCGCCTGCACTTCCAGGGCAGCTAACAGCCCACAGGAGTCAGGAGCTGGGAGGTGGGAGGGGCGTACCAGTGCCAACGAGCTGTTTTGCTCAGTTTCCTGTCACTGTGCCCCAGCGGGACGCTCCAGCACATGTGGGTCTGCACATTCCTCAGGCCGGACAGCGCTCGGCAGGCTGACAGCCACAGCTGTGCCAAGCCTGCTGGCCCCAGGCGTTGTTTTCAACCAGAGAGGCCCCTCTGGGGGTGGCTGAGCGGGAAGTGGGCTGGGATGTCTTATTTCTGGAACTTGTGTCTTGCTGGGAGTCCTGAGGAGAAGACCTGAGGATGTGTTGGTGGCACAGAGGGAAGTGGTGAGAATCCAGGCTCAGGTTTCTGCCTCCAGGTACAGTCTGGCACCTGGCACCTGGCTCCCTGCAGGTACACTTCAGGGTGAGTTGGAGTCCTTTCTGTTTCCATGGGAACAACCCTCCTGCCCCGGTGCTTTGCATGCTCTCCAGCAGCCATGGACCTGGCCATGCCTGGGCAGCCCCTTTGCCTTGTGACGCAGCCTGGAGCAGGCTGCCAGGGGCCCTGGCTTGGTGGCCCCGGGAGGCAAGACTGGGCAGGCCCAGCTCAACCTTAAAATCACCCTGGAGGCTTTGGGAACCCACTGGGCAGCTAAGTCTCCCGCACTGTCCAGCTGTTAGGAATCAGGGCAGTCAAGTTGGATTGCCTGAGTTCAGTCCTGCCTTAGCCAGCTCCTGGCTGTGTAGCCTTGGGAAAGTTGCTTCACCTTTCAGAGCTTCAGTGTCCTTCCCCATGGAAAGGGGCTAACCATAGCACTGCAGGTGTTGCCTTGCAGGGCATCATGAGCACTCAACGAGCTTTGTCCTGATCAGCATCTCGTATGATGTCAGACACAGCACATGTGAGAAGGTGTCACAGTTTGAGGCGAAGGGGCCTCATCAGGATACCTGGGTTCCCCTCTGCTCTGCCCCTCCTCTCCCTACCTTGATTTCCCCTTGTCTGTCAATGGTGAGTGGTCCTGGCTCACCCCCCTCACAGTCCTTCCAGCACTGAAAGCTGGCCCTTGGCCCCGGGGAAGGCAGGAGGTTCTAGAGAAGCTACAGAGGGACTCAGATGTGTCAATGGGGTCTTCCAAAGCACTTCCTGCCTCTCACCTCCTAGGATCTGGCAGTAGGCAAGGCTGTCACTGCTGGCCCGTTTACAGATGAGGAGGCTGATATCCGTGGCTGGATGTGGTAAAGCCAGGATTAGAACTCAGGGCTTTTGACCTGATGCTCTTCCTGATACCACACGGCCTCTCCTAGACAATCCAAGGACAATGTTGTACATTCATCACTGGGAAAACAGTACCGACCAGACAGGATGCTTATCTTCATTAGGTCATCAGTACTTGCTGGAAAATAATATGGATTCTGAATATATATATATATATTCCTAAAGCAGCCCGACTGGTCCACAAAGATAGGAACCCAGGAGCAATAGTGTTTCCTGACCCTCCCATCCCAAAAGGAACCTTTGCTTTAGGACTGAGGGATGATGTTCTGGGGCTGAGCAGCTAGGAAGTGGATGGGAGACAGCTTCGGGAAGCTGACGCCTTAATTCTGACCTCTCTAAATACTTCCCTTTCGGGGTTGCTGTGAGGATAAGTGAGGTAACTGGGGATGATGCTTAGCAGAATTTATGGTGTGCCCCCGGCGTGGTGGGGGCACACCATAAATAGGACTGATGGTTTTTATTATTACTCACCTTCTGCTATCACTGTAACACCAGAGTGCAGCCTGGATCTCTCGCCTGGGTTTCTAGGCTGCAGATGCAGCATAAAGAATCCTAGCATCTCCATGGAGAACTGCTAAGGAAATTGTAAAAGCTCAAAACACAAGCACACTAAGCAATGAGTTGTGTAGTGACACCTAACTGAGAAGTAAAATGATGACAAAAAGCAAGAAGGTGATTATCTTGAATAAAAGCCAAGCATTGCCACATGTGCTGAGGAAAGGTGAGAGAGGGTCAGGAGACTCATGGGGGGCAGTTGCAAAGGAAATCACTTTGTAGTTATCAGAAAATTACATGTATGTGTTATACATGCGTTTATACATAGATTCTATTTCACAAAGTTAAGCCAGTTTTAAAAAAAAAAGGCAAGGGAATGGTAATGCAAAATCAAGGTGGTTATCTTTGGGGAGAAGTGGGTAATTGATCAGGGAGATGCCTGTTTCACTCTTAGTGGGATCCATTATGTTCTGTTTCTTCAGTCCAGTGGTAGGCTTGTGGGTGTTGTTTTTAATTTTAATATTTATTTATTTATTTGAGACAGAGTCTCACTCTGTTGCCCAGGCTGGAGTGCAGTGGCGCGATCTTGGCTCACAGCAACCTCCATTCCCCAGGTTCAAGCGATTGTCCTGCCTCAGCCTCCCGACTAGCTGAGATTATAGGCATGTGCCACCATGCCTGGCTAAGAGTGTTATTTTTAAATATTTTTGTGCTTCACCATTTGCAAATAGGAGACACATATATTACATTACATATATATATAATCTTACGTAATACCAATTAAATTAAAAGATCATCTGGAGCATTTTCAGATGCTTTCTTAGAAAATCTGCCTCTCTCCTCAGATTCAAATGTTAATCTGGCTGGATTTAAAAAATAAAGCAACAAATCCTGTTGTATGACACATACTTCTCTTTAATGTAGGAGACATAATTTCCCTCTTCCCAAATCATACAATGAGCAAGATAACAATAACACTTTATAACCTCAGGTGATCAACAGAATTTGTAAAGTTCCTGGCCTAATGATTTATGCTTCTGAATCATAAAATCCTGAAATATTTGAGCTGGGAGGAACCTCAGGTCACCTGGACCAATCCGCTGGTTTTATAACAAAAGGAAGTGTCCCAGCCAAGGTCAACACTGGCACACATGTAGGGAAGACACTTCTCTCCAGACTGCCACACCTGTGTGACTATCATGAGGATACCACCCGACAGACAGACCAGTGTGAGTCCTGGGTCACTAGCCTCCTCCTTAGGGCAGTCAGGGAGAGAGACGGGAAGTATGCATGAGATTAAACTGATAGGATCATTTTATTTATTTATTTTATTTTTATTTGTTATTTTTTATTTTTTTTGACACGGAGTCTTGCTCTGTCTCCCAGGCTGGAGTGCAGTGGTGCAATCTCAGCTCACTGCAACCTCTGCCTCCCAGGTTCAAGCAATTCTCCTGCCTCAGCCTCCTGAGTAGCTGGGACTACAGGCACATGCCACCATGCCCAGCTAATTTTTTTTTTTTTTTGTATTTTTAGTAGAGACAGGGTTTCACCTCATTGGCCAGAATGGTCTTGATCTCCTGACCTCATGATCCGCCCACCTCGGCCTCCCAAAATGCTGGGATTACAGGCTTGAGCCATCATGCCTGGCCCAGGATCATTTTATTTTTTAAAAGTCAGAGGAGAGTTACATTTTACAATGGAACCACACATTTCTAGAACTTATATGAACAGAGACATCCTCAAAGAAAACATATAAGCAGTGCTTAGAATCTTCTTTCCTACAGGAAGTCCTCTTAGGAAAGAGCTCCCCTTACTCATCCTATTTTTTGCTGGCATATTTGATCACCAAAACAATTGAGTGCTGCAGGTATGGTTATTTCCATTTTTCCGTGGGGGAAACAGGTTCAGAGAGGTTCAGTGCCTTGACCCAAATCACTCAGCAGGTGAAGATGGAGCAGGACTTTCATCCAGAGGGGGAGTAGAAGAGATGAACCACTTTTGTTTTCAGTGCGCTGTGCTGTGAGCACATTCTTCACTCCTTAGATGCTGAATTTCCGCAGCCCGGCCCAGCCTGGGCGGGCCGTGGGGAAATGCCCTGGTGGAGGACAGTTGGGTGGTAGCTTTCCAGCTGTCAGATCACAGAGACGATCTAGAGGCTAAAGCTCTGCCTCTGCCTTGCTGCTCTCCTGCAAGGAAGCCCACTGCCTTTGTGGCATGGGCAGTGGTGAGTCAGGAGTTGGGAGAATCCATCCCATGTTGGTCCTGCAATTTTTTTTTTTTTTTTTTGAGACGGAGTCTCACTCTGTCACTCAGACTGGAGTGCAATGGTGCAATCTCGGCTCACTGCCACCTCCGCCTCCTGGGTTCAAACAATTCTCCTCCCTCAGCTTCCTGAGTAGCTGGGATTACAGGCACCTGCCACCACGCCCGGCTAATTTTTGTATTTTTTGTAGAGATGGGGGTTTCACCATGCTGGCCAGGCTGGTCTCGAACTCCCGACCTCAGTCAATCTGCCCGCCTTGGCTGGGATTACAGGCGTGAGCCACCGTGCCTGGCCAAGTGCTGCACATTTTGATTCTTGGCCACTTTCTTCTCTCGTCAAAGGTATTCTTCCTGCCCTCCCTCTGCAGAAGTGCCTGTCACAGACAACAGGGTTCCAAGGGACAGATGTTCCAGGACTGCTTGGTTTCAGATGATGGTTTTCCTAATGCACGGTTGCTGTGTCCCAGCATGGGTGCTCCCCTGGGCAGTGGAGGCCTGGGCCCAGGTCTCAGCCCTTGCTGTCTACCCTCTGCTCTGTGAATCCATTTCTTGGCCAGTTGCTGCACTGTGAATCCATTGTTTCCCATCTAACGGGGTTGGTGATACCTCCCCGTGGGGCAGGGCTTAGTAAGGACCTAATGACAGAGAACTTTACATGAGTAAGGCAGCTTTCGGAGACTAGGAAACAAACCTTCATGTACATGCCCAGAGAGACTGTGTGTGGGCGCTGGAGAAGTATTTAGGAGTGACAGCTGCAGTGGAAACAGCCCGAACCTCAGAGATGATTTACGCTTATACTTTTACATATAGGGAAACCGAGTCTCCACAGCCGAAATGGTTGGCTCAAGTCTTGCAGGTGCTTCAGGGCCAAGATGGTATCTCCTAACTCCCTGACCAGTGCTCTTACCTTACAACCACCTTCCCCAAGAGTTTGTTTCATTGATATTCGTGGTGTAACACAACTTGGGATGGCTGCTTGATGAAGGTGAAATGGCAGCGTTCAGCCCGTGTGGTCATCACCAAGGCGTGGACAGAACAGGGTGGGCCACCATGGCTGGTTGGACTCTAATTTAAGCCAACAGTTTTATTTGAGATCTGAAAAGGACTGAGCCCCTCCCAAGTGACACTTGCTGAAATAATGCAGCCGGCTGACTCACTGGGGTAGCCTCATTCCTTAAGGATGGGAGGAGCCTGCATTTGACCTTCACCTGGGCTGGTCTCTGTTTCCTGCCCTTTAAAGAAAGAGGTTGAGATTAGGAGATTTCTAAGGTACCTTGAAGTTCAGATGTTTTCTCATTCAAGGACCACAGCTTCAAAGTAGGTGTTTGGGGACCTGGGTCTAGCCAGTGCAGTTCACCCACTCACCCCAGGAGGGTCCAGATCACTGGCAG